AAAAAAAAAAAAAAAAAAAAAAAAAAGAAAAGATACCCTCGCTCCCAGCCTTCTAGAAGGTACACTGTTGGTCATTTTGTGCTACAGAAAGAGGGGACGTCCAGAGGAAGAGATAAGGCCGCTGTGGCTGAGGAGGCCACAGGTGCAGCTGCAAACAAGCAACGGTCCAGCCCCGCCCTCCAAGCCCACCTTCCTCGCTCAGCATGCAGTCACTCAGCACCAGCTCCCGCAGCAGAGCCCACGTCTGCAGCAGCTTGCCCAGCGCCCTGCAGGTGTCCACCGTCAGGCTCTGCGTGGTCAGGTCCAGCCGGCCCCTTGGCAGCTGGTGCAGCTGCTGCAGGACAGCTTCCTGAGGCTTGGCCCCACTCTCCTTGCACAGGCGGCTGTAGGAGCGCCTGAAATCTTCCATGTCCGCATGATCCTTGGGCCAGGCCTCAGCGTGAGTTTTTTTTTGTGGGGGCTGGCGCCAAGCCCCGCGCCGCGGGCAGCGCTAAAGTGGGCCGCTCAGTGTGGGTCGACCCTTGGCATGAAGGCAATTAAGGCCCTAGCGGGACGTTCTGAAGGGCCGGCTCACTCCGGCAAGAGGCAGAAGGAGCGCCGAAGTCAGAGCCACCGCGGGTGCGTGGGCCCACCGGCGCGCGGGGGAGGGGGCAGGCAGGAGCGTCCACGTGCCCCAGTCCCTCCCGGCCCTAGCCCTCACGCCGCCGCCCCTCCCTGCTCGCCAGCGACCGCGCGGCCTTGGTATCCAGGAAGAGCGGGTCACGCCGGGAGAGGCCGCGGGACTACGACTCCCAGGAGGCTTTGCGGAGGCAGTGCTCGCCACGGACCAATTAGAGAGAAAGGGGCGGGCCGCAAGAGAAGGAACCGAGGCAGCTCGTTCCGGGCTCTTCGGCAGGGGGTCCGGGGGCGTGGCTCCCGAAAGCGCGCTCTGGATTCATTGGCTGGAGGTCAAGCAGGGCGCGGGCGGGTGCTCTTCGCCTATTTGACTGGGCGTCCGAGGGAGGAGCTCCCGAGAGCGCCCTTCGGTTCATTGGCAGGGTTTCGGGGGCGGGGCTCCCAGAGGCGTCCTGGGACTCACTGGCGGGGCGGCCTAGGTCAGGTTCCCTAGGGAGCGCTACGGGCTCATTGGCTGGCTACTCGGGGCGGGATTCCCGAACGCGCGCGCCGAAGCGGTGGCCATGGAGGGAGAAGGAGCGGGCTTCCGGAAGGTGAGGGCGGCCGGGCAGGGGCAAAGCAGGCAGGCGGCCGGGCAGGAATGAGGCCGGCGAGGACTCATGCTGCCCGCCCGTGCCTCCAAAGAGTGGGCCCATTCCCCGATCTGCCCTCACCAACCCGCGCACTCTGCGGTCAGATAGGGCGTGTCTGCAGAAAGTATGCAGGAAGGGCGCTGTCAGGGCGGAATCTGAGCCGGCCGACAGGACTCGGGCCTGCTGCCTCCCGTCCTGACCTGGTTGTTTCCTCTTAAGGGAAGATAGGTCCGGCAGGACTTTTAAAACCGCTTAGCTTGGTGGTTTCCCTTTTGTCTGCACTGGCGGCCAGGCCCTGCCTGGAAAACCGTGGGTGGCTAAATGCTTCCTTAGTAGCACACGCAGCACCTGCAGTCGGGCACACCCGACACAGGTTAACCTGTCCACCTGTGGGAAAGCAGGCACGGGAGATAAGTGACTTGACAGGGTTCGGTCAGATCCATGCCGTCTTATCCAGGTGCTGGGCTTCCCTCACCGGGGCCGGGGGCCTGTGCAGATGACCCTTTGTAGGCAGAGTGTTTGAGACATTTTATTGCTCTGCCAAAGTTGGAGAGGCACTGAGTTTCCTCGAGGTCAGGAAGGTGCACCAGGAGGGCCTCGTGGCCCTGGTCTGGGGAGGTAGAGTCTCAGCCCCTTGTGAATACATCCTTGGCAGAGGACTTAAGCCTTGTAGAGACACGGGGATCTCCATTATCCTTTCCTTATCACTCTGCACTAGGGCTCTGAAAAAAACCACTGGGAGGCTGTGACTCCCTTCAGGCCAACCCCACAGCTACAGACCCGAGAGGGTGGCCAATCCTTGCCTCAGGGCTCAGTCCACACCTGGGTGGGTTTGTGGTCCTTACACACAAGGATGAGTAGAAGGGTGGAAGGCCACGGGACCCTAGAAGGGCAAAGGCTAAGTTTGTTTCAGACGCTTCCTCAATGCTGCCCTCTTCAAAGTCACTGTGTATAGAACTGCTTGGTGGCTTGTCCCAACAGCCCCAGGTGGTGGTCTGCTCTCTGGAGTGGCCTTCCTTCCAACCTCTCCTGGGCACCAGTTTTGGGGGTCCCAGAGCAGGTAGGGAGGTCAAGCTTTTTTTGTACCTTCCATTATACCAGCAGGAAGGACCAGCAGGTGGCGCTGAGCCTGCACGGTCACTGACAAGGACTCCTGTTGCTGGGGGTGGGGGGTGTAAAGGGCTTGGGGTGCCCCCTCCCCAGCTTCGTTAAACTGCGCTCAGTGCCACCACTCACCCTCCACACAGTACCCAATTTCTGAGCTCCTGGGTGCCCACTGCTGTATTCCCATCCCCACTTGGCTCCTTTCCTAGCCACTTGTAGCTGGACTCTGCCTGGCCACTTCCTGGGTCCCATGGCTTCAGGAAGTGCCTAAGAGTCCCAGCTCTGCTGGGACAGCTCACATGGTTCTCTATGCCCCTAAATGAACTCTCCAGTCCTTGGCCCCCACCTCTCCAGAGTGGTACCATCCCTTCAGGGTCCCAGGTCACACAGCAAAGTCCCAGCATGCCTCCTTCTGTTTGCTGTTTGGAGGCTACAGCTAAGACCCCTCTACCGCCTCCTTCCTGCTCCCTGGTCTCTCTGAAGGCCAGCGCTGCTCTATCAAAACCCCAAGAAAGACAGTGGTTTCCTGCCAAGGACAACTAAACATACCTAAGCTTTGCTTTGCACCAAAATCCATTCCAGCCTTGTTGACTTCACTTGGCCAAGCTCTGCACTTCCCTGGGCACCAGATGTTGGCTGCAGGGAAGGGCTGACCCAGTGCCTAGAAGAGGGTCTGTCTCCAGCTAGCACATATTGGTGGCTATGGACCCACCTTGGGGACACCTATGTGCTAGCCCCCAGGTCCTCACAGAAGTCTTGATTTCTTTCCTTCCCTACCCAGAGCCCCAGAGGGTGACCTAGGGCTGCCATGGTACTGGCCATGGTACTGGCACTGGGCTTTCACTCCTGCAGCCTCCCACAGGGAGGTCACTCAGCTGCTTTCTCACCAGCCTCTACCCACATAGCTCCCTCTACTCTTTTTTTTTTTTTGAGACGGAGCCTCAAGCTGTCCCCCTGGGTAGAGTGTCATGGCGTCACGCTCACAGCAACCTCCAACTCCTGGGCTCAAGCGAGTCTCTTGCCTCAGCCTCCCAAGTAGCTGGGACTACAGGCGCCCGCCACAACGCCTGGCCATTCCTTGGTTGCAGCCATCATTGTTGTTTGGCGGGCCCGGGCTGGGGATTCGAACCCGCCACCTTAGGTGTATGTGGCTGGCGCCTTAGCCGCTTGAGCCACAGGCGCCGAGCCAGCTCCCTCTACTCTTAAGCGTGCAAGTTCCCTACCCTGGGAGAATCCCAAGGATGCCTGGTGTTTCCACCTGGAATTCACAACCATTGTCCAGACGGAAATGCCTAAGGGGCTGTGGGACTGGCGCTGACCCCTGTACCCCGCCTCCAGGAGCTGGTGAGCAAACTGCTGCACCTGCACTTCAAGGATGCCAAGACCAAAGGTGCGGGGATGCCAGGGGCCAAGCCTCAGGGAGGATCTGAGCCTTGCAGGGTGGGAGTCCCCCATAACCTGCCCCCTGCCTTACAGTCAGTGGGGATGCACTGCAGCTTATGGTGGAATTGCTGAAGATCTTCGTTGTGGGTGAGCTGAGGGACTCGCGCTTGAAAATCAAGATGTGAATTGTCGTGTTTCCAGCAAGTGCCTGAGCTCTACGTCCTCTAAAAAGCTCTTTATCAGAAGCCACAGCTGCCACCTTGGGGCTGCCTATGGGTGGGTGGTGGTGGGGAACCCCCGGCTTCCTCTATCACTCATTTCCTCTCTTGTCTTGGTAGAAGCAGCTGTCCGTGGGGTCCGGCAGGCCCAAGCAGAGGATGTGGCCCTTGTGGATGTGGATCAACTGGAGAAGGTGCTCCCTCAGCTGGTAGGTGGGTGCTGTGGGTAGGAGTGGGGCTCCTCAGGGCAGCCCTGAGCACTCCTCTCCCCACAGCTCCTGGACTTCTAGGGATCCAGAAGCCACCCCACTCGGAGCAGGCCTCTTGTCTCCTGTGGCCTCTGGTTTCAGACAGGGAAGAAGAGCCTGAGAGGTCTGGAGCAGGTTCAAACCAGAGTTGAACCACATTGGGAAGATTGTCCTCCAGCCTTCTCAGGATGCTGTCATTTGGCCAGAGTTGCTGCAGGACACAGACAGTAGAAGGTCTTGAGGACAGGCCCATAGGGATGGTGCCTAGGGTCCCTACCTCTCATCTCTGGGGAAATTGTACCTGCTGGGAGGGGTCCCTGGGAAGCAGGTGCTGGTGAAGGGCTGGCAGGTAGCCTGCATGTTTGCTATCTCCTCCACATTCCTTCCACCCAACAACAAAGCTGGCTTGTAACTTTCAGTCATCTGATACTCCTCTAAGAGGCTTCCCTGAGCTATAAATTTGTTCTCACAAAGCAGCATCAATAAATCAAAACAATCTTCCAGGCTGGGCCCTCTTATTGCCATTAAACACCCACAGTCAAGTTGCTTCAAACTCTTTCCCTGCCCCTGTGCTCCTGTCCACCTTCTTGGTAGGATAAAAGCAGAACTCTCAGGACAGAGTAACAAAGCATGTGTGTGCCCTGCCCCACCCTGCACAGGGCTATGAAATTGGAACCCTTGCACATGTGGCCACCATCCTGGAACATGTTACTGGTGCCACGGGGGCCACTTGGGAGCTGCTTCCAGTAGGCAGCTGCTTCCATGAAGAACTGTGGTAGTCTCATGCCACTGAACCCACTTGCTGTAGGCCGGACCAGGATGCACAGGGTGAGGGATCCTGGCTGGAGGCTTCCCCTTTGCTACCAGTCTGTGTGAGCTTTCAGAGGCCAGCTCTGTGCCAAATCATGGGAAGTATGCAGGGCCTTGGGCTGCTCCTTCCCTGTGAATGACTGGAGCCTACTCTTTACCTTCCAAAGCTATTTGGACCTCACTTAACCCAGCGCAGAGAAATGTTCAAAGGCTCCCAGGTAAGGGCCAGCAGCCAGGAGAAAGGCCACCAGGGGCTGGATATGAGGATAGCAGCTAGGCCCCAGAGCAGAAGAGGTAACAGCTACCCCATGGGCACCCAAAGCAGCCTTGGGAGGACCTTCAGAGGCCCCCCAGCATGGGCTTTGGCCAATTCCTCTGTTCCTGACCTAGCCTGCCCCTCTCCCACCCAGGGCTTTTCCTGGCCCTCCCTTTCCTCTGGGTCTCTGGGCTCCAACTGCTCCCATGGCAAAGGGCTTAGACCTGTCAGGAAGACACATGCTAGGACCCCAGCCTGCAACAACTCTGGGGGCACCTAAAAGGCCAGGCCCTGCAGTGGCCCCAGGCCTAGGGTATAGGTAATCTGTCCAGAAATCTTTTCTCCCTCACACTTTGTTCTCTTTGGAGATGTAATTAGTGGTGCTAATTAGGTAAAGGTAAGGAGTTGCTCCTGCCAGTTGCCATTTCTGGGTGGCCACCTATGTCCTTGCTAATGAGAATAAGGCCCAGTGAGGGCCACCTGGGCCCATGCCATAGTCCAGCCATGCTCAACCAGGGCCTGGGAACTCCAGCTGGCCCTGCCCAGGCAGAGGCCCATGAGGACCCTTGTCTGGAGAAAGAGGACACAAGACTCTCAAGAGAAGCACAAGTCTTTATTCCCACTCAGGGTGGGGGTGGGGATCCTTTGGCTGGCAGAGTGGGCACCTGGGCTGGCAGCTCTCACCTCTTGCTGGCTGCAGTGCAAACACACCAGGATGACCACCAGCCCTGGCTCCCACCCAACCCACCCAGCCACCCACCTGCCCTGCAGCCCCAGGCACCTGGCAGCTTCAGCCACTTGGGGACCTTGCCCAGGCTCTTCCTCACAGGCTGGGTTGTGCCCGGGCTGGGCTCCAGGGGGCCCAGTGCCCCTTCCTCAGCAGTTGGCTGGGACTCAAGTGGTGCAGTGTCAGGGGCTGGCAATGGGGGTGGGGACCCAGCGGCCCTGGACATGCACCTGGGGACAAGAGGTCAAGGTACAGGATGGTGGGCACTGCCACTGATGAGCCCCCAAGTCTCCTCCCCCACTACCTGGCCACTAGCACATCAGCCGCAGATGGGGACACAGTGTGCTCCAACAGCCTGGGATCCAGATGGAGACCTGCAGAGAGGCCAAACCCACTGTGGCCCTAGGAAGGACCCACCTGCCACCCAACCACTGACTCTGGGAGGGGGAATGGCCAGGCAGGCGGCTGTCCCAGCCTGCAGCTGCTGGGGAGGTGGGTGTCCAGAGCTGCAGGCCTCCCTCCCAGGGCAAACACTGCCCAGAATGAGTGCTCTTTGGGCCATCTTACACTGAGCACTGGACAAGCTGGAAGGCAGGGCCCAGGGACAAACTTTGCAGAGCAAGTGCCCACTCACCTGTGGGTTCCTCGGCTCCAAAGTGCACGAGGGCAGCAGGGAAGAGGTTCGCCTGCAGGGAGGGCAGGGGCTCATGGGCAGAGCGCCCATTTCTGTGGAGATAGCCATACCCAGGTCCCTCCATCCTCTGTAGGCAGTGCCCATCTGTACAGTCCCTGGCCTGCAGGCAAGGCTAATGTACCCACAGACCACCCCAAGCTCCAGCTGAAAGTAGACGTTCTCGTGGTGCGTGAATTCTAGTGTTTTTACCATCTCTCCCTATCCCCCCACACCTGGGAATAATCAGCTCCCTAGGACAGCACAGCCTCATGCCTGCTGGGAACTCTCTAACCCACTAGAACCCAGCCGAGTGGCGAGCAGAGAAAAACAGAGGACTGGACTGATGTGGTGGATCTGGGGACAGGGGATGGTGGGCAGCAGAAGGCCTCCTCCCTACTCCTATCCCCTCCCCCACGTGGAACAAAGAATAGGTCTGGGAAGGTCTGAGACTGGGGGCCTCCTTCGGGCTGAAGAGACCAATGTAAACCCACTGGGACATGAGAGAGGACTTGCAGGTCCTCTCGGTGCAGGTGTCTGGAGCCAAGCTGTCTGGCATCTCAGGCTGGGAGGTGCTGCAGAGGAGTCCACCTGCCAAGACTCTCAGGCCATCTCCACTGGGGTAAAGCCCACACCCTAGGTCAAGTCAGTGATCAGGTCCTAGCCTGGTAGGAAGGAAGTAGCCACCACCCAGCCAGGCTCCTTGGGAAGGGTGTGTGCATTGTTGTCAGGTGTTGAGGATGGGTAACACAGAGTATAGGTTTGCTACTGGAATAGTATAGAGAGGAGGGCTAAAACACAGGCCACAACCGGAGTTCTACTTCAGAGTCTCCTTGATTGTAGACAAACATGACTTTTGTTTCTGCTCTCTCTCAGAGGCATAGAGGCCTAAACATATAGGTGGTTTTCCCCTATATGTGTGCCACATATAGGGTCCCACACCCACATTGGAGGTCTAACCAAAGGGGGCTTGAGCAGGATTTCTGCTCCCACTTTCACAGTACCAGAGGGGGACAGAGAACAGGATGAGGACAGGTTACTCGCTGACCTGGGGGTTAAGTGGTGGGTGTAGTGTCAATCCAGGGCTGCAGGCAGGGTGGGGGGGCTGGGCATGGGTGGGCCTGGCTGATGCATCCAGAAGCCGACCCAGCTGCCGAGGAGTGCATCTCCAAGCCCTAGGAGCACCATAGGCTTGCTGGGATGGGAGATGCTAAAAAATTAGTAGGAAGAAGCTTCAAAGGCTAGGCCTAGGAAGGCTGAAACCTCAGTCTCCAGCAGGCAGCAGAGTGACACAAACAAGGGTTGTGAATGCTTTGAAAACCTAACTATGACGCCTGGGATCAAAGCCTTTAAGAGGAGAAGGGCCTGTGGAGTGGGCAGGGGCTGCTCTCATGCCCCCTGGAGGGGCACCGGAAGCTGCGGAGCCAGGACAGGCACATGGGTAGGGGAACAGTGCCAGGACTTTCCTTAGGCTGGACTGTGTTGGCCACCCTCACAGCAACAAGAAGGCATTGTCCTGTCCCACAGGACCTGGTCAGGACTCAGCACAGGCCAGAGCCTGATTCCCTTCTACCCTTTCAGAAGCCAATGGCACTGCTTGGAGGCTACCACTGGTCAGGAGGGCTCCCTCGGAAGTCTCCAAGCAGCATTGCTTCTCGTTCTTGGGCCCTTCCCTGGCACAGCCCAGACCATGCAGAGTGGGACAGGCAGGACACTGGGAGAGGGGCAGCCTGGGCTCAGTCTACAGCTGTGGTCCCCACCACTGAACGAAGTGGAAGAGGAGGGCTGGCAGATGGGCCACTGTCCAGACTGGGAAACCTTTGGTAGGGCTCAGCCTCTGGATGGGCCCAGAGAAGGAGCTTCCCTGAGTTCCGCATCACCACCATCTCCCTAGCCAGGGTTCCTAGGGGCAAATGCAGCAAGGGAGCCAGGACGGAGTCAGTCCTACTCCACCCTGGCCCACCCCAGTTGCCAACCTGGGCCACCCTCACTGTCTAGAGCTGGTTCTAGGGAGAGCCTCTGAGGGGATGCCCTGGAGACTGGGGTCCTGCCCCCTCAGCAAGAAGCCTTGGACCTGCTCTGGCACAGCTCCCACTGACAAGGAGCAGTGAAGTATGAACACCTAGCACCAGTTCAGCCGGCCCACACCTGCCACCCCAACCCTGCTCATGGCATGGCCTGAGGGCGTACAGGAAGGGTTTGGGCAGCCTCCATCCTGCCAACAAGCCCAAGCCATCCCAGCATCCCCTACCCCAGCTCTGCTCTGGACTTGGGCACAGCACACCCAGTAGGGCCTACTTGAGGGCTCTGGGATGAGGCCTTGGGGAAGGACCCTCCCGCCACAGGGGAGTGCTCCAGACCCTTTGGGGCTGACCCCTCCTGAATCAGATCTCCCTACCCTCCCTGCCTCCCCTCAGCACCTGCCAGAAACCCCTGCCTGTCAGCCTGTATGTATCTCTGCAGTTCCAGTGGAATAAGGAACAAGTGGCCAGACAGGAAGAAGAGGTGCTCTGTTCACCCCCAATGGCTGCTCTGTTCCCTTCCTGTGGCTAAGCACTAGTCTCACCCACCCCAGCACAGACAAGCACCAAGGAGTGGAAGAGACCTGGCCAAGCACTCCGCACCACGCCCTGGAACACCCTGGGGACATGGGGGATCAGAGGGGTGGGGCAGCAAGACAGGAGATGAGCTGACCAGCCAGCACCAAGAAACACACAGAGCCGGGACAGGCAAGACCCTCCAGGATGTCAGGGGAAGCAGGGAGCTGCTGTACCCCTTTCTTCTCATTCTGTCCTCACTCCTGACCTCCTCCCAACCTCCCCTTCTGGCCCTCCCAGAAAACCCACACTCTAGGCCAGGGCTGCAGAGGGCTGCGGGCTGCTGGCTTCACACCCACCCACCCACGCAGTCCCTCTCAGAAGCAAGGCTGGCCCCAGGACAGCCCCGGGCAGCTGGCGGCCAGTGCACAGCCCTGCCGGAGACATGAAAGCTGGCGCTCTACACTGCGTCGGCCTGCCTACCAAGGGGGGCAGGCTTCCTTC